GGCCAGCACTGAGTCCCGACCTCTCCCCCATCGAGCATGTCTGGGACATGCTTGGACAGAGGTTACGTCAACGTCAACAACGTCCTGCCAATGTCCAAGAACTTGCTGCTGCGTTGCAACAGGAATGGGACAATCTGGACCAAAATGACCTTAGACGTCTCATTAGGAGTATGCCACGTCGGATCAATGCTTGTTTGGCAAACAGAGGAGGATTTACCCGTTACTGACTTGGTTGTGATGCTGTGGTAACTTTGCTGTTTGACCCCGGGTATCATTTTACCCTTATAATGGTCAGTCTGTGCCTTACTTAGTCTAACGATCATTTGGAATAAATCGATGAATGTGAACTTCATTTCATTTTGTCATTTGTTTCTTCGTCAGTTTCATTAGGTGACTTTAATAACACTTAAAAATCAAATATCCCCTACTTTTTTTGAATAGTATAAAATAAAATTGCCATGTTTTTGGGAGAGAGCGCACCCTTTCATATGATTGTGGCAACTATTCTTGGTTTTAATCGAAAGACAACCTAATTACCTTTTAGACTATATGTAGTTAGATGCTAAGAATTTTGTACGATAATCTGAAATTACACCTTAATTCTGAGCTATAAGAATATGGTAATAGTGTACAGTATAATATAAATAAAATAAAACCTAAAAAGTCCTAAAAAACGGTATAGGCAAAATAGTGTAATCAGCAAATGGACTGTTCACCGTGTACAAAATACACGGTTTAGTAGTGTAGGGAATTTTGCTGCAATTGTTGCTCAGGCTCAGGACCCACGCCCCGCTAATTTTCTCTGCCACCAGTGATCTATTGGTCGATCGCAAGCCGTTTAAAGTAGAGGGCGGACTAGTTAAAACGTAGTTGTGGTATGTTCGTCTCTCTCTCTTTTCCAAAAAAAACGGAGCAAAACGGTATAAAAAACTATTAAGTTTTATTATGCATGAAAACATATATACAGGTAAGTTTTAATGGACTGGGAAAACTCTTTTACACTATTTATATAGAGGCGAACTGTCCCAGTTCAAGACTTTCTGTGATCTGTTCTGTTTCTGTGTAATAGCTAAAAGACATACTGTTCATTAACCATTAACTGCAAGCAGTTAAAAGCTGCGTCTTTTCATTGGACGCAAGCATCTATGGACTGTACATGTTCTTTAAACGCAAGCGTTTAAAGTCAGTGTCTGTTCAATAGATGCAAGCATCTAAACGCTGTGCGCTCAAAGAGCATTTCCCAAGAACTATAGATGTAATAGCTAAAGCTTCGCTTCGACCGTGGAGAAGAATATCACAGTGCGAACAACTGACCCTGGTTACTAGCTCGGGATAACACGTTCGCCTGGACGTCTTCGACAGGATGGCATTGAGTCTGAGAATTCATTCCCAGCATAAGAGCCTTAAGTAAAAAAAGTTATATTTGCAACAATATAAATGCAACAGTCTTTAATAGCTTGACACAATGATAAAGTTGACATACAAGAGTATAATTAAGTTACATTGAATGAGTCATAGGATATGCATATAAATTATAATTGCATGCTATTTATTCAAATTCAGCTATTTAAGTAAAGAGAGATAATAATACTAATTTTATTAGACAATGTATTATGGTACATTTCCAACAAAATAGATTATATAATAGTGATATAAACTCACTAATAGAATAGTATGCTAAATAACAAGACATTGGTTTCTATTAAGTTATAAAATTAACATATTATTATAAAACTTAGAAAGAGTCTGTCAACATACTATTCATACAGTTATCAAATATCCAATCCCACACTACATATAAATAATGACTTAAAACTAAATATAGCTTTTGTCTGCGATATCACCTCGGTGGAAGCGGACGTAAAATACAACTAACTAACAACAACATAAATATAGCTGTTATTAGTCTCGACTATTTAGGCGTCTGCCGTCTACGGACTATAAATAAAACAATACTAACAAAATGAAACTAGCTTTGCCACAATTTAACTTTTTATACGCCCACATTTTCATGTGGACGTATATTGTCGTCGCCCCTGTCCGTCCGTCAGTCCACAATTGCTTGTGAACACTCTACAGGTCACAATTCTTATCCGATTTCTACGAAACTTGAAATATAGGTTTATCTCCCCAAGATCTCGGTTCCTTTCGATATTGGCATGTTTCGGACCGTAACTTCATGGATTATGGCCCCTGATTGTACGAAAAATCGCCTTTTTAGCTTGTGGACCCTATAGAGGTCATAATTTTTATCCGATTTAAAAAAAACGTTTTAGTATATCACCGATACACCCTAAGAATGGCTGAGTTTGAATTTCGTGAAAATCGGACCAAAACTGGCTGACAAAATGCCCGCCCATCGTTCTCAAATAGCGTAAAAAATATGGTATATCAATGTTGTGGACCCTATAAAGATCACAATTTTTATCCGATTTTGTTGAAACTTGAAATGTAAGTTTATAACCCAAAGATCTCAGTTCCTTTCGATATTCGCGCATATAGGACCGTAACTTCCTGAATTATGGCCCCTGATTGTACGAAAAATGGCGTTTTTAGCTCGCGGACCCTATAGAGGTCATATATTTTATCCGATTTAAAAAAAACGTATTACCTAAGAATGTCTGAGTTTGAATTTCGTGAAAATCGGACCAAAACTGACTGACAAATAGCGTAAAAATATGGTATATCAATGTTATGGACCCTATAAAGATCACAATTTTTATCCGATTTTGTTGAAACTTGAAATGTAAGTTTATAACCCAAAGATCTCAGTTCCTTTCGATATTCGCGCATATCGGACCGTAACTTCCTGAATTATGGCCCCTGTTTGTACGAAAAATCGCGTTTTTAGCTTGTGGACCCTATAGCGGTCATAATTTTTATCCGATTTAAAAAAAGTTTGATTATATCACCCTAAGAATGGTTGTGTTCGAATTTCGTAAAAATCGAACCAAAACTGACAGACAAAACGGCCACGCCTCGTAGTCAAATAGCGTAAAAATATGGTATATCAATGTTGTTGACCCTGTAGATGTTACAATTTTAATCCGATTTTGTTGAAACTTGAAATGCATGGTTACAACCCAAAGATATTGGTTGCTTTCGATATTCGTGCACATCGGATCGTAACTTCCTGAATTATGGCCCCTGATTGTACGAAAAATGGCGTTTTTAGCTTGGGGTCGCTTTAGAGTTCACAATTATATTCCGATTTAAAACAACGTTTAAATATATATCCGTTACACCATAAAAGGTTGAGTTCGAATTTCGTGAAAATCTGCCAGACCAAATGGCCGCCCCTTGTACGCAAATAGTGTAGACATCTGGTATATTAGGGTTGTGGACCCGCTGGAGGTCACAATTTTGTGCCGATTTTGATGAAACTTGAAATGCATGTTTATAACCCAAAGATCTTGGTTGCTTCCGATATTCGCGCATATCGGATCGTAACTTCCTGAATTATGGCCCCTGATTGTACGAAAACTCGTGTTTTTAGCTTGTGGTCCCTCTAGAGTTCACAATTATTAACCTATTTTAAAAACGTTCGAATATATCACCGTTACACCATTATGATAGCCGAGTTCGAATTTCGTGGGAATCGGACCAAAACTGCCGGACAAAATGGGCGCCTCTTGCACGCAAATAGTGTAAATATATGGTATATCAAGGTTGTGTATCCTCTAGAGGCCACAATTTTGATCCGATTTTGATGAAACTTGAAATACATATTTCGATATTCGTGCATATTGGATCGTTACTTCCTGAATTATGGCCCTTGATTGTACGAAAAGTCACGTTTTTAGGATGTGATCCCTCTAGATGTCACAATTTTTATCCGATTTAAAAAAAAACGTTTGAATATATCACTGTTACACCCTTATGATGGTTGAGTTTTGGACCCTCTAAAGAGAGGACACAATTTTGATCCGATTTTGATGAAACTTGAAATACATGTTTATAACCCAAAGATCTTTGGTACTTTCAATATTCATACATATCGGATCGTAACTTCCTGAATTATGGCCCTTAATTGTACGAAAAATCACTTCTTTTTTGAGCTTGTTCTCTGTCCATCTCTTGCAAAATGTGGGCGTATCTTGCATGGCAACCGCTTGTTGTTTATTGCAACAGCTTTAGAAATTACGTTCGTTTTTTTTTAAAATGCTTTATCATTAACTATACCGTTAGGAGCGGCATCTTTTGGTTTAGTACAAATAATATCTCTGAAACACTCGGGTTAGGCTAAAACATGATACTAGCACTAGTTTCATTTTACTTTTACAAGGTTCTTAAAACAATTGTTGGGTTGCGTGTTTCTAAATTCAATTTCTTATTCCAGCTTTCTGCTATGTTTCGTAAAAAAGTAGTCTTGATTATCCCGGCCTGTCAATCAGACAGAGCATGGTCTATATATAAATATTGTGGTGTAATTGTCGAGTTATTTGGAGGTATTTATTTATGGCGTGGCACCCTATAACAGAGATGAAAATGTACACCCGATATTTTTCTAGATGCTGTTATTGTGTATATTGACCACACGAAACGCCATCTCTGGCGTAGGGATGCATTGCGCAAACCTACGCGCATGTACATATTATGTAATTCATGGAAATGTATCGCTTACAAAATGGCATTTCAACACCATAAAGTTAAAATGTCAAATAGAAATAGTATAGAATTATTATACTCAATAATTAGTTTCAAATGTCATGAAAAATTTAAGAGAAAGATAATTGTCTTCAATTAAAGTGAATTTCAGCCGTCAATGATATGGACCTGTTCTACTCAATATGCAGGGGTTAAAACTATTGTTTGAATGTGGGAAACTTCGGCTTTTTCCGAAGAGCTTCGCAGCCTTGAACAAGATTTAAACAAGATGAGTAGCACTTGGGTCCGATTTCTTGGTCGAAGGTAACAGTCAATACGGTCTACCAGTCAATGACGACAATATACCACAACAATACAATGGTGGGTATGAAAACGTGGATAACCACTTGGAGATTACTTATATTAGACGGTAGGTATAAAAGACTGGTGTCACTAGTAAACATTAATAGACAGATTCAGTAAGGTTCAGATCCAGAGTTTTGTAATATCATCATCATGAAGTGTGTCATTTTTTTAGTGATTGTCGCTTCCTTGTACTTGACATCAGCTGGTAAGTCTGTTTATTTTATTACATGGAATCAACAATGGCCCCAGTGTAGATCTGTGAAGAAAGAAAAACGCCTTGCGTCGATCGTTCATACATTCATAACACGCGGTTGCCATGCAAGACACTTCCATAAGGACAGAGAACAATCTATAAAAAACGCGATTTTCCTACAATCAGAGGCCATAATCCAGGAAGTTATGATCCGATATGCACGAATAACTAAAGGAGCCGAGATCTTTAGGATTTAAACATATATTTTAAGTTTCATCAAAATCCGATAAAAATTATGATCTCTAGAGGGTCCACAGCCTTGATATTATATACTATTACACTATTTGCGAACGTGGAGCGGCGATTTTGTTGGGCAGTTTCGGTCCGATGTTCACGAAATTCGAACTCAACCATCATTAGGATGTAACGGTGATATATTCAAACGTTTCTTTTAATCAGATAAAAAGTGTGACCTCTAGAAGGACCACAAGCTAAAAACGCGATTTTTCGTACAATCAAGGGCCATAATTTAGGAAGTTATGATCCGATATGTGTGAATATTGAAAGGAACCAAGATCTTTGGGTAATAAATAATATGTATTTCAAGTTTCATCAAAATCGGATCAAAATTGTGACCTCTTGGGGGATCACAACCTTGATAGAACATATATTTACACTATTTGCGTACGAGGGTCGGCCATTTTGTCGGGCAGTTTTCATGAAATTCGAAATCAACAATTATTATTGTGTAACGGTGATATCTATTTAAACGTTGTTTGTTTTTTTTAATATCATCTTTACTATCATGCATGGTGTTTTATTTGTGTAGTTATATCATTTCTCTGTGTGTCTATGTCATCTTTATGATTATGGTGTTTTATTTGTGTATTTATATCATCTATTTGTGTACCTATATCATCTATATCGTTATGGTCTTTTATTTGTTTGTGTACTTACATCAACTTTTTTGTAGTTATATCATCTATTTATGTATTTATATCATTTTTATTATTATGGTGTTTTATTTTTGTATTTATATCATCTATTTGTGTATCTATATCATTATGATCTTTTATTTGTGTATTTACATCATCTATCTGTGTACTTACATCATCTTTTTTTGTAGTTTTGTATTTATATCATTTTTATACGCCCACATTTTCATGTGGACATATGCCTTCGCCCCTGTCCGTCCGCCCGTCCACAATTTGTTTGTGGACACTCTACAGGTCACAATTCTTATCCGATTTTGATGAAACTTGAAATATAGGTTTATCTCCAAAAGATCTCGGCTGCTTTTGATATTGGCATGTATCGGATCGAAACATCATGAATTATGGCCCCTGTTTGTACGAAAAATCACGTTTTTAGCTTGTGGACACTATAGAGGTCACAATTTTTATCCGATTTTGTTGAAACTTGAAATGTACGTTTATAACCTAAAGATCTCGGTTCCTTTCGATATTCGCGCATATCGGACCGTAACTTCCTGAATTATGGCCCCTGATTGTACGAAAAATCGCGTTTTTAGCTTGTGGACCCTATAGAGGTCATAATTTTTATCCGATTTAAAAAAAAACGTTTTAGTATATCACCGTTACACCCTAAGGACAGCTGCGTTCGAATTTCGTGAAAATCGTCCCAAAACTGACAGACAAAATGGCCGCCCCTCGTTCTCAAATAGCGAAAAAATATGGTATATCAATGTTGTGGACCCTATAGAGGTCACAATTTTTATCCGATTTTCTTGAAACTTGAAATGTAAGTTTATAACCCAAAGATCTCGGCTCCTTTCGATATTTGTGCATATCGAATTGTAATTTCCTCAATTATGGCCCTTGATTGTAGGAAAAATCACTTTCTTTTTAGCTTGTTCTCTATCCATCTCTCGAAAATGTGGGCGTATCCTGCCTGGCAGCCGCTTGTTATTATTATGGTGTTTTATTTGTGTATTTATATCATCTATTTGTATATTTATATCATCTATACTATTATAATGTTTTATAATTTAGAAGAAAATGAAGTTGATGTTAATCTTAGGAAAGCCATGGAAGCCATTAATACTATTGTCAAGAGAGGTTCCGAGTAAGTAAAAATATATATAAGAAAAAAATATAGAAATTAAATTTTTGGCAAGTACTTACATCGTTATCAAACGAATCGTCAGGCCAGTTTAATGCAAGTTCCGAGAAAGTAAAGTGTGTGTGTATATATATATATATATATATATATATATATATATATACATACAGCTATTTCATTGTTTACGGCAGATAAGTGCATAAATAAATTAAAAAAAACGTCCAGGTAAAAAATTCCCCACTTATCAGTGGCGTAGCTCCTTTACTTGGGCGCATATAATATATCAAAATCTTTACATTTTCATTTATCTGCCGTAAACAAAGAAATATATATATGTATAAAGATTTTAATAAACATGAAACTTATAATAACTGCCAATCAATTAAACATGATGGTAGATGTCGAGCGCGATGAAGTGTATGCTTACGTGTCCTATCTGATTTCTTGAATCAGTAAGGGTGTGAGTGGAGATGTGGTCCTTAAGAAGATTATGATGATTGGATAACAGGATAACAATCTGATCACAATACCCAAGACGACTTCAATGTCATTATTTTATGATCGAATGGATTGCTGGCAACGACTGTATTTTCAGTATAATTATTTATACTATTTTATCAATATTCAGATACAAATTCTGTTTTCTAAATAACATAATATACAACGGTATAACCAACAGGAATTCATCCATAAATAAATGTCGTTCTATTTTTCAGAGAATCTGCCAACATTGAAAAACGAGAGAAAGGTATTCATGTAAACGGGCGCTGCAGTAGTCTACTTGAAGACTGCAGCAGTGTACAACATTGCTGTGGTGCATTGGAGTGCCGAACGACAAATGGATATTATGGTTTTTTTGGTGGAAACTGCCGTGCACCATAACAAATTCTTTTATATGTTAAGTGTTTGTTAAGTATTTACATAAATTTGAACGAATAAAAAATCGTGTTTTTTTTTTATTACATACTTTCAATAGCGAAGACAAATAAAAAGATATTTGAAAAGCAAGAACGTAATATATCAATCAGGAACCGACCATACGTCATCAGGGCCATAGGAGTTCGTCAACCGATGCGCAATAGTCCCAAGAACAAGCGGGCGAAGTTTCATGTTCATTGGGTGGTTTTTTTTTCGAATACCATTGCCCCAAGAAAAATGCACAAACACAACTACGAAGTGTACGGAATCGGTATTTTTATTCAAAAAACGATACACATATTATATTACCGTCTTCGTAGACTTGCACCCACTTCATTAATGATCCATTCGTGTTTCACATCCAGCCAAAATGTATCAAGATACTTATTTCTGACGAGTACCTATTATACGATCTTATTGCTGGAGAAATGAAACGAAATGCCGTATTATGTCCCACTGGATTAACAAAGACGGACATTATGAAGATTGGCATATGTCATAGTGTGCTATGAGGGGAAAGTTTACCTTGACAGCGGCGCTATGGCCTATTCTTATATCGAATTCCATCTGGCAAGGGATCATTTACGTACACGCTGTTGTGTACACGTCCTACCCGAACGCCTATACGTTGTCCCTTGGTCCTACACCACTGACAAGGGGAAACACGTCGGAAAATCGATGAACTTTCTAGGCGAACACAGGGATCGAACACGAGCCTTCACGTTAACGAACCAACGTCTTACTGAACCACTGGACACAGCTGCCGTCATTCCATGAAGCACCGTACCTAACTTATTAGTAACAAATTAGGCGTATTGGCCTTACTATTCGTTTGTGCTTAAGAAGTAAGGTACAACAACTAAATTAGATATCAAGTGAAACCACGACAAGGGTTCGCACCACACTGATCAGCTGTGAATTTTCGCTAAGCCGCTACAATCACTGATAAGGATGACATCGATGCGACTTAATGAGTCCTAAATATTAACTTTTTTCTTCCGTCAAATTAAATTTTGAAACATTTTTTTCATGTATTAGAAAAATAAATAAAGCCGTTTGAATTATTTGTAGGTAAAAATCATTTCCTATTTAGTGTAAATGGGTATTAAAATAAGTAAAATTCACCATTTAGCCCGACATAAGGCGACAACCCGACAACCCAACATTACGACATTTTAACCCGACAATACGACATTTTCACTCGACACCACAATATTAAAAATGTCGTAATGTCGCGTAAAAATGTATTGTCGGGTTAAAATAATGTACACTGATCCTGGTGTTTGTCAAGAAAATTCCCCTGGATTTTGCAGCGTGGTTTCTCCATGTCGGTAGTGCAGAACAACAAAGAACAATGTCTAGTATTGTAGATGGGACCCCCCCCCCCCCAAAACCCTAGCTCCTTCTCACTTGAAGAATTGCCAAGGTCCATTGAGAATTTCCGTCATATCACTCTGCATAGCGTATGCCTATCCTCATAGTCCGATTGGTGCAGAAAAGTAGGAAAATGAAATGAAACGGGGTTTAAAGTCCAACTGATCTGCTGGAGTGTGCCCTCCTCACACCATATGCAGTCATTTGAATATATGTTACAAGTCCCTGTGAAATTCCGATGCATAAGGGATGCTGGGATATGTTTGAGCAGACGAGGTTTAACGTCCAACTGTTTTACTCGGGGAGGGGGGGGGGTGCTAGCCTGGAGTGTGAGACCTCCCCATATGCAGTCATTTGAATATATGTTACAAGTCCCTGTGAAATTCCGATGCATAAGGGATGCTGGGATATGTTTCATCAGACGCGTGAAGCGCGTGGAATGGCAAAGTAAGGCTAGTGTATAGTGTAGAGTGTATAGAACAGGACAGTTTAAAGATGCAGTGATGTGTAACATTATCTAAGATTAAATTAGAATTATGACCATATTAAAATACCCATAAAATAAATAAGTGTTAAGGGGTGGGCATCTCTCATGAAAGGGTTTGGCACATTATCGCCAACGAGTTAGGAATAATAAAAATTTCTGCAAGACGGAGTGCTAAAGCTCTTGACTGCGGATCAGAAACGTGTCAGATTCCTGACGTCCTGTGACGATCTGTGCCGTTTTGAAGCGGATCCTGATAATTTTTGGCCAGATATGTAACCATGGATGAGACCTCTTTCCAAAAATGAAAACGGAACTAGTCGGTCGTCATGCCCTTGGTAATGATGACGTCACGACAGGTGTGAACGACTTTTTTTTTAAGGTGGCTGGCATCCAGGCCTAGCAACATCGTTTGCAAAAATGTGTAAAACCCGAAGGGAAGTATGTAGAAAATAAATAAAAAACATCGACTTTGTACGTTTTTTTTTCAGCCAGCCCTCGTACAAGCACCTGCAAAGATGTAAATGTGTTACATTCAAGGTTTGGAGACCAGTCTCTCTCTTGAGTTAATTGAGTAGGAAGACTGGGATACTTATGACGGCGTTGTACATTATTATGCTTTAATAATAATCAACAACTGTCTTTTGAGATGTGTATATCAAAATACCATAATGCGTGTGTGCTAGACCGTCTCCGATTTAGCCTTGTTCTCTATGACAGTGGTGCAGAGCCGAGGGCCTGCAGTTAGAATTTAATATAAGAACTAGCGGGCAAAGTTACCCTCATAGTACTCCGTATAGGGTCAGGTACAAAACTCGGAAAGCTCGGAAAACTCGGAAAATATTTTCCGACTTTTCCCCTCTCCGAGTTTTATGAATTGGCTCGATTGAAAACACAAAGTTGTAGTAATACATCTATTTAATAAGTTGGACATAATCTGTAACTTTTCAGTTATATTTTAACCAAAATAATGCAATATGGCAGTTATAATCGAATATCCGAGTTTTCCGAGTTTTGTATTTTGGCCTATACGAAAACACAAAACTCGGAAAACTCGGAAAGTGGTCAAAATTAACCAAAATAATGCAATATGGCAGTTATAATTAAATATCCGAGTTTTCCGAGTTTTGTATTTTGGCCTAGGCCTAGGCCAAAATACAAAACTCGGAAAACTCGGAAAGTGGCAAAAAGATACCAAAATAAAATATTTTTCATTGGATATATATGATTATTATAAGGCGGATTTCTCCTTAACGAGAATAACTTGATATTTAGTGTAGCCCACTCAAGTTTTTGTTGCACCGAGACAGACATCACAGGCAGTAAGCCTATTACGTGTGGAGCATATCTAATTGGATAATTATAGTTGGGTACGAGACCTGAAATCCGTGACCAATTTGCGGGGAACTTGTTTTGAAGGTGGTTTCTATATGATAAAACCCCACTGAAACGATTAAGCTTGGGTGCCTCTCTCTAAAATGCTGGCGGAATCCGCTAGATGGCCAAATTCAAAATGGCTGCCAGATTTGGCGGGAAAATACAAAATTATTTAATTGAGACTTCTGAGGCGTCTATTCGTTGGTTTTAAGGGTCTCTGAATCGAAATATCGTAATCAAAAATCCATCCGGCCACTAGTTTTGCCAAAATAGCCTAACAATTCAAGGTGGCCGCCATTTATGGCCTACGAAATAGTTTTGTCAACTATATCCAAGTTGTATGTTTTCGAGGTCGAGGTAATCAATTTTGATGAAGTTGTATCCATATAATAAGGCAACCAGCAAAAAGAGTGAAAGAAATGGAGGTACTCACCGATATTTACCACCTGATATACTCTGTAGTTAATTGATTTTAATTTAATCAACGCTTGATAATGGATCCATGTAATATTTAATCATCATCAACTTGTCCACTTAAAATCAAAGTGTTACTCATCAAAATCACAGTCACTCGATTCGAAAGTTGGATCCAGTTCTGATTATTCAGATTCAGATTGTTCCTCCAAAGTTGAAGTTCCGTCGGAATCTTCATCATTTGCACTATCATTGCCATGAACAAGTAAGTCACTTATGACCGGCCTAGTAATGCTGGATTCTCATATACAATTGACAATCACTGTCCAGATTGGATCAGTTTCCAACCATTACCAAAGGGAGAGTGTATGACCTTAGACTTTGGGTAATTAAGCATTAAATATGCCCGAAAATTGTCGCTGGTTAGTATAAGTTTATAAGGCTCATCAGGTGGTAGCAGGCGAAAGTTTTTTCGTTTTATGCTAGAATATTTCTTGGCTCTCGCTTCTGTCAATGATATGCCTTGGAGATGGTTCCTATATGAAAAAAAAACTTGCTGAAGCGATTACGCTTAAGTGCCGCACTCTAAAATGCTGGCGGAATCTGCTGGACGGCCAAATTAAAAATGGAAACTTGAGTGGGCTACAATAAATATCAAGTTATTCCCGTTAAGGAGAAATCCGCTATATAATAATCATATATATCCAATGAAAAATATTTTATTTTGATATCTTTTTGCCACTTTCCGAGTTTTCCGAGTTTTCCGAGTTTTGTATTTTGGCCTAGGCCAAAATACAAAACTCGGAAAACTCGGATATTTAATTATAACTGCCATATTGCAATATTTTGGTTAAAATCTAACTGAAAAGGTTATAGATCATGTCCAACTTATTAAATAGATGTGTTACTGTTACTCCTTTCGCTAATTTTATTTCTAAAAGTTAGGTAGGCCTATTCTCGACACAACGTATATAGTATGGGAGAACGGGGCAGGTTCGGCCTCGGGGCCATGTGTCAAATTGAAATTATATACACACCTCGTTTTAATCATTTCATCTTTTGGATGTCCGAGTTTTCGATCTCACCCACGTTATCCCCGTAAAGGCGAGTTGAGTTCCTTTGTACATATTACAACCCTTACACACCATATCCAATGAAAAATATTTTATTTTGATCCCTTTGGACCACTTTCCGAGTTTTCCGAGTTTTGTGTTTTCGTATAGGCCAAAATACAAAACTCGGATATTCGATTATAACTGCCATATTGCATTATTTTGGTTAAAATATAACTGAAAAGTTACAGATTATGTCCAACTTATTAAATAGATGTATTACTACAACTACTTTCGCCAATTTAAAAAAAATTATATTTTTGATAATTTTCCAACTTTTTCTCTTTCCGAGTTTTATGATTTGACTCGATTGAAAACACAAAACTCGGAAAGGTCGGAAAAAATTGTCCGACTTTTTTGTTTGAATAGAAAACTCGGAAAATATTTTCCGACTTTTCAGTTTGAAACAAAAAGTCGGACAATTTTTTCCGAGTTTTCCGATTTTTGTGTTTTCAATCGAGCCAATTCATTAAACTCGGAGAGGTGAAAAGTCGGAAAACATTTTCCGAGTTTTCCGAGCTTTCCGAGTTGTCCGAGTTTTGTACCTGACCACTGTATAGCGTATGCCGTCTTCATAAGCCCAGAATGTTAAAACGCATTCTATTTCATTTTCCTACTTTTCTGCACCAATCGGACTATTGGCATTACTTCATCGAATTTTTTCAACTGTGAAGGATTCAATCATGTGCATGCCAAAGTATACACATATCTGATCCACGGTATATGTTTGACACTGGTTACGCATTATGATTATGGTTATAATCATGATACCCACATTGAAAGCGTGTGATTATTTGCCATTTGCGAGGGGGCACACAAACTCAATGGGGCGCAAAAACTCAAAACCATGACGCCAAGCTCTTACTTAGTCCCTGACCACGACATGATACCAATAAGTCACCCTACCGAAAACATTGGGAATGATTATTATGAATTTAAATACTATTAACTAAATACATACTTTGCAGCGATGGGGTACAGTATACACCGCCAACGATTGTGAACGCCACGGGAGGAGAGATTGACCAGACCCTTCGAGACGGATACAATCCAGCCCCATCTCAAATATTAAGGACACAGATGTTCAATACAATGTAACAATCAATCTCAATTAACATATTATTAGTAAACTAAATATACTACAACCTCTAAAACACAACAGATAGGATAGTGATGGCATAAACATCAAACACATCTTTAAATTACATAAATGGCTGGAATCCTTAAGCATCGCGACATTCTTAACCATGTGTTTTAATTAGCAACGAGACATATGCACTACATGTACATATAAATAGTTCTGGT